ATCAGATTCAGAAACATTCTCTCCCTTCCACCAGCCCCTTTTTCCATCTCCTTTTTCTGCTGTAATGGTTTCACTCACTCTCTGCTCTTTCTTGCCCATCTCTCCATCACTAGGTTTATTTTTGGACGGCTATTTTTATTGTTCCTGCTCTTAAGTCCTGATGTCAAATGTCCAGAGATATAAATGTCATCACTGTGTTTTAGTATCATAGTATAAGATCTTAACAGGCATCTCTGTCTGTCTGTCAGCATTATCAAGATGTTCTTCCCATACGCCAATATGATGCATTTTAACATGATAAACTTGAAATGTTGTGATGATCATGCATCTTTCTGCAATTGCGGTGACCACTTTTGAATATTATACATATAGTCTTAATTAGTTTTTCATTTTTAGAGTTCAAAATGTTCAAAATAAGTTTGAAAGCCATTTATTGTTAAATATAAAATCATAGAAGTCAGATTCTAATGAAAATGTTAGTGTAACCGCTGTTACCACAATATAAAAACACCAAAAGGACTTTGAGGAACACTTAAGTTCTTCCTTAAGCTAATGGCCATGTGTGGTGAGGCGATATGTTACAAGTCCATGAATTTAGAATTTTTGAAGGGCCTTTTTTAAAGGTGCCCTATTATGCCCCTTTTTACAAGATGAAAAATAAGTCTCTAATTGTCCCCAGAGTGTGTATGTGAAGTTTTAGCTCAAAATATCCCACAGATAATTTTTTTTATAGCTTGTTGAAATTGCCACTTTTAGCGTATGAGCCAAAACATCATTTTTGTGTATGTCCCTTTAAATGCAAATGAGCTGGTGCTCCTGCCTCCCTTTTCAGAAGAGGGCGGAGCTTCAAGATCTCATGCTCCAGCCTAGGGCTGGGCGATATAGCTAAAAAATGTATCAACGATATAATGTTTCATATTGTTCAGTATCGATAATTATTGACATTTTTATAACCTTTTTTTGAAACAAAGAGCAACAGAAATTTTTTTAACATTTAACCCCTGTATTTTTAAATTAACTCAATTTATTGAGACAACTATTTTTTTGTTGTTTTGTTTTAACAGTCAAACATAAAATAAAAATTAAACAAATATCTAATTTCTAATGTTTATATGCAGATTAAATAGGTTAAACTTTTGTCTTGTCTCCCGAGGCCAGAGCAAAATAATGCAGCACATTAAATTGCAACGCAAGGAAATAACTGTCTATAAAAAACATGCATTACGTCTAAATTAACTCATATAAATCAAATATAAATTTCGTAAATTGCATAAACAATTATGAACAAAACAGCATCACGTATTTATGCATTGCTTAATACAAAGAGCTGAAACACCGATCGCACAGATTGCATTTAAAAACATAAGAGACGCAGTGAAAAGGAATAAACCTCCACAGACTCGTGACGTGTTTTCTAAAAGTTTAAACTGTTTTAACTTTGCATGAATTGTCCCCAGAGTGTGTATGTGAAGTTTTAGCTCAAAATATCCCACAGATAATTTTTTTTATAGCTTGTTGAAATTGCCACTTTTAGGGTATGAGCCAAAACATGCCATTTTTGTGTATGTCCCTTTAAATGCAAATGAGCTGGTGCTCCTGCCTCCCTTTTCAGAAGAGGGCGGAGCTTCAAGATCTCATGCTCCAGCCTAGGGCTGGGCGATATAGCTAAAAAATGTATCAACGATATAATGTTTCATATTGTTCAGTATCGATAATTATTGACATTTTTATAATCTTTTTTAAAACAAAGAGCAACAGAAATTTTTTTAACATTTAACCCCTGTATTTTTAAATTAACTCAATTTATTGAGACAACTTTTTGTTGTTGTTTTGTTTTAACAGTCAAACATAAAATAAAAATTAAACAAATATCTAATTTCTAATGTTTATATGCAGATTAAATAGGTTAAACTTTTGTCTTGTCTCCCGAGGCCAGAGCAAAATAATGCAGCACATTAAATTGCAACGCAAGGAAATAACTGTCTATAAAAAACATGCATTACGTCTAAATTAACTCATATAAATCAAATATAAATTTCGTAAATTGCATAAACAATTATGAACAAAACAGCATCACGTATTTATGCATTGCTTAATACAAAGAGCTGAAACACCGATCGCACAGATTGCATTTAAAAACATAAGAGACGCAGTGAAAAGGAATAAACCTCCACAGACTCGTGACGTGTTTTCTAAAAGTTTAAACTGTTTTAACTTTGCATGGCTTTCTATTCATCTCTTGTGTGACACGCGAGTGCAGCAGTCATATTTGTCCTTCTAAAAAAATGCACTGAATTTGTGTTCTGTGTGAATGGCTTGGTTTCGGTTTTAACAAGATCTTCTACGCATTGAGTTACTATATATCTCTAATATTTTGAATGAATAACGCAGCAGCGGCGCGTCTCGTGGGCTAGACTAACAAAACATTAAACTACAACGTCACTTACATCATAACCGCATCTCGTGCTCCACTGATGACGCACATCTAATTAAAAACATGAGACGCAGTGAAAAGGAATAAACCTCCACAGACTCGTGACGTGTTTTCTAAAAGTTTAAACTGTTTTAACTTTGCATGGCTTTCTATTCATCTCTTGTGTGACACGCGAGTGCAGCAGTCATATTTGTCCTTCTAAAAAAATGCACTGAATTTGTGTTCTGTGTGAATGGCTTGGTTTCGGTTTTAACAAGATCTTCTACGCATTGAGTTACTATATATCTCTAATATTTTGAATGAATAACGCAGCAGCGGCGCGTCTCGTGGGCTAGACTAACAAAACATTAAACTACAACGTCACTTACATCATAACCGCATCTCGTGCTCCACTGATGACGCACATCTAACATTGTATTGTACTATTTGTGCATTCAAATGCAAATATTCATTTTAAATTCGACTAATATTCTTTTTTATTTTATTTTATTCACAATCTCCTCGTCACAGGCAGGCACAGCACTCATGTTCGTGTTTGTGTGTGCTGTCTGCGTCACTCATAGCACATGCCTATATCGTGCACTATATCACATTTTTTAAATATCGTTATCGAAGGTGTACCGTCGATAAATATCGATACCGTTTTATCGCCCAGGCCTTCTCCAGCATACCAGTAGCAACAAAACAGGACAATCTCATGCAATCTGATTGTCCTGTGCAGTAAATGCGCGTTTATGAATTACACAGACGGAGATCACGGCACGATAAAAATAACGACATAGTTGGTCTCATGTTGCATTTGCGTGCTATCACATTATGAGCTTGACAAATTCAAACGGTTGACTTCACATTGCTTTCATATGCAATTTTTAACTACCACATTCCTATTTACGATCATTCTGGTAGCTCGTGAAGGCAGCATCAGTGAAAACAGGCAGAGACAATGGTAGCTTTAGCAACATTAGCCTTACAGAGTGCCAAGAAGCTCTTTAGGAAAACAAAATGTGACGCGGGATGCTTACTTTGTCTGGAGCTGAAGTTCGCGCACAAAGCGTTGGTATCGATCCCTCTTTCAGAAGCAATCTTTGAATAACTCAAGCGCTGAACTGACCCTCGTTTGTGAGGCAGTCTGGCGTAAAATGATTCGCACAAACATACTGGACTTCTCCGTTTTTTTTCTGGGACATTTCCTTCGAAAATGAAATTTAACCACCGTGTCTTCAGCAGTCTATGGAGACTCCTATGTTCATTGGTGCATCCCAACACACAACACTTGTAATGCCTCTTTGGCGCTGACATTGTATCTCCAGCAGCTACAGCAAGAAAACGGTAATGGCGGACCGCTGCTTCTCACTCAGGGCGGGGTCTATGCTAGTAGGGCAGAGAGTGTCACAAATGGGTGGGATTTTCCCGAGTATGACGTCATTATAGGGAGGAATCTGGAACCGCTCGTTTGGAGAGACTGTTTATGATTTATTGGGATTATAAAACAATGAGTGGGTGGATTTTTACCATTATAGGCTGGTTGTTTTCACACTGCGGCCACACAAATGTGTTCAAACACCTTATAAAAGTGATTTTTGCATAATAGGTCACCTTTAAATCTTCAGTTATCTTATTTATGCTATATAACCCTGCAGCACCATTTATTTGTTTAATGAGATTGTTGGAAATATTGATATACCATTGATAAGATAAATGGCAAATTATCAGTAAATTATTGTTTTCTAGTTTTAATGCGGTTTAATGTTGTCACCCTAATTCTCATGCAGTCCTTCAGTTTATTCGTAACTACAGTGCTTTGTTAAAGGATAGCATGACTTTAGTTTCACTAGTTTAAATTATAAGTATCTTAATATAAATCAGAGAAATTTACTGTAAAAATAAATCTGCATCTGTGGTTGCCAGAACTTTACCATAAGAAATATGGTAGCAACATTAAACTTAAACTTACAGTAAAAAAGCCTTTTATTTCATTAACTTGAAATAATGTAATGTACTAAATATATACCCATATACCAATAAACTAAAATAAAATTTTTTGTTTTATAAATAATATACTGACAACCCTGTTAAAAACACAGGTGGTCATGAGAAAGTCACATTATGAGTCGAAGTTCATCACAAGTAGCTTTTCCACATGCTGAGGTGAATACTAATGTACAGAAGATACACGGTTTGATGCACACAAATACAAATCACCATCATGGTAACACAAATGACATGAAATAATGTAATAATCATTCATATATCAACATAACAATATGTACAGAAGAAACCGTAATTTAAATGAAAAACTATTAAATGTGAGCTGGGAAAGTAACAAAGATGTTCTTTTCACCAAAAAACTATTCATTTAACCGTATTTTACTGTAAAATGACATGAAATGTCACAATATATATACGAAAGTAAGGGAACTTACCGTTAACCAATGAACAGGTTTTTACTGTAGCATATGTGTTTTGCCAATAAAATTATGATTATAATTTTTTTTACAGTGTAGCTTTATAGTGTATCATACATACAAGCATCATGTTGTTGTGTTTTATCCCGCCGCACTCACAGATGGAGACGGAGCCCATTTCTCTTCTGGGTGAATCTGTGTGCGAGGCATCCCGGGACGTCCCTGTGCTTCCTAACGGATCATCCATGACCTCCATCAAAAGTGAGGTGCAAAGTGAGAAGCTGACCTCAGAGAAGCTGCAGGAGATTGAGGACGAGGAGATCCTGGACAAAATGGTACTGCAGTTCTCCTGCTGTTAGATACAGACATCACCAAAAAAAACAAAAAAGGGTCATTCTTTATTTGCGCTGGTGCATCCCTACTTTGCAACAGTTGAAATAAACTTTCAATACCAATATGTCATAAAATGTTTGCACATTTGTATTCTGTAGTGTGAAAATTTGTGCATGGTTAAAAGGACAGTGCACAAATATGAATTATTCAAAATTTAAATACATAGCAATACGGTTTTTTTATTAAAAAAAAGAACAAACATTTGTACAAATCTGTCTCTTGTTTGCCACTGCAACTCAAAAATGAGTCATGATGCTCATGCAGAGAGCACAGGTTTAAATTCGGCTCGCAACATTTCCGAAACTTTATAATTTTCATGAAATCAAGGTTTCAGGTTCTCTCTTTTATTTTAAGAAATTAAAAGATAATACAATTTGCCTTGTTTACTTTTTAATACAAATTACTGGTTTTATTGTGCATGAAATGTAATATAGCTATTCTGGTGCAGCTGTACACAGTCAACAAGGTGCATGGAAGGAGAAATCAAAAGTATTTTTTAACCTGTTAGTGCCCACGGTACACTGCGTGTTTTTGAGGGTTGAAACCATTAAGATTTAAGATACCATCAACACAGCAGGTACAATCTGTCTTTGTCAGACCACCAACAAGGCTTCATGCTGTGATCGTATTGTGTTTTCCAGCTAATAGCTCCCAGCTGTAGTCATCTGCAGGCATCTGTTTGCAAAAAAAAATAGTTTTCTTCCTTTTTTTCAGTGTGTTCAGAGTTCTATTGCTCAATACCAGTGAGACTTGCAGTGATTCTGAGGTTTGTAAACCTCAGGGTGTCACCTTTCAAAAGAGACCAAAACCACGCATATACTCCAAGTAGTCATCTGCAGGCATCTGTTTGCAAAAAAAAAATAGTTTTCTTCCTTTTTTTCAGTGTGTTCAGAGTTCTATTGCTCAATACCAGTGAGACTTGCAGTGATTCTGAGGTTTGTAAACCTCAGGGTGTCACCTTTCAAAAGAGACCAAAACCACGCATATACTCCAAATGGTTCAAGAACAGCATACAGTTTACTTTGGGTATGCTAAGGGGTTAAAACAAAACAAGCAACACTATTCAGAGAATGGAATTGAAAAAAATCGCTGTTTATTTCGCCAACACATTTCGGCACACGGGTTTTCATCATGTTATTGTGCATGATTCATCGATTCAGTATTACAAAGGCGATACTTATCAGTACAAAAGTACAGTGAGTTTCTGTATTATTGTTGTTGTTGTTATTATTAATTTGTATTTATTTTTTACAGCTTGATGATTGCAAAGACTTTGAAGAAAGGAAAATGATCAGGACTGCAATGAGAGAACTGCGAAAGAAAAAGCGAGGTGATTATATCTGCCTTTGTTTTCTTGTACAGTACTCATCTCTCCTTCTCCTCTTCTTTCGTTATTCTCTCTATATATTGAGGGGCGTCAACATATAAAGTCTATGAGTTCTCAGTGCCAGACTGTCTGTCTTCCTCACTTCCCTTCTGTTGAGTGCTGTTTCTCTCTCTTTGCTCTCAGAGGCTAGGCTGGGATGCACACAAGAGGAAATGGGTAGGGTTTCTGGATTGTGTGTGTTTTTGCCCTACTGCCCCTTTGCTAATGCCCAGGGCCTTGGTGAAGGGTCAGTTAGGCTTCATTTGGCTATTGACTTGGTTTGTATTTGCAGAGACGGTATGTTGTTTTTAAGGTGCCACGTGTGATTGGTGTGATCTGGTCATGTTGTTTGACCATGCATGACATTTATGTGTTTTGTTATCATATGGTACTGCTTGCTTTGTGTTTGCTTGATAAAATGTACAAACATATGTTCATCTATATGGGGGTGTGGGGGTGTGCGATATTGACTAAAAATGATATATCTGTATGTTCTGGGGTTTTGTCGATAATTAGACGATATTTTGCTGAGTTCGTGCTGATACTTTGGCTGGTTTGGGCCTGCCGTGGACAAGCTTTTCAGTGCGGTGATTTCCAGTGGCATTTTTACCTTATAAAGGCAATTTCTTCTAACCTTATTAGATGTGCACATCATCTTTTATGTCAAACTCTTAAATTAATTGGCTGTTACCAATCAAATTAGATCAATATCAACAAAATCCATTTCTGCACTGCAAAAGCTGCCGATTTGAGTGACATTTAGATGTATTTACACAGACTGTTTAATGCAGCTCAGAGGTGGAATGAATGCATTTACACAGCTGCAGTGTAAATTAGTTACATTGCAGTTACAACTGCATAAATAATATGAAATTATATTTTAAATATGAATCTAAAACCACCAGTAGGTGGTGATAAGTTGCTGTCTTAACGAGTCTCTTGAGTCATTCCTTCAACTGATTTGTTCAAAACTTCAAACGGTTGATTCATTCAGGAACGAAGCGAATGAATCATTGAATCACTAACCCGATTTGTTCAAAAATTAAGCATTACTATCTTTTGCTCAGAGACACACAAGAGTTCTGCTTTAGCTTTGTTTGAAACTGTTTTCTTTGGCAAAATAGAGCATAGATAATGACAGTAATATTGATAATATTTTTAAAATGTTACTCGCAATATTAACCTTATGTTTACTGAACTGTTGTATAAAATGAATATGCCATTTGTTGTCATAAATTGCAGTCGTGCTGATATTCAGGAAAAACAACATGACAGCTCACACATCGTTAAAACAGCAATTGCGATATTATTGTAGATGATAAATATTGCACACCCCTACTATGGTGTTAATCTAAGATCTTAACGCTTTCACACAAGTGCTTTGAATGTGATACTGATCGAATCTGAAGCGTGTGATTTCTGTCACTAGAGTTGCAAAAATTATGATTTCAAACTGGCTTCTTGAACGCACTCCCTAGTCAGATAGTCTCGCCCATGTTGATCATGATCACCCATGTATTGTGCATCCCTGATCCATCCTCCATCTTCACCCTGATTTCTCTTCCCTTCATCCTGATGCTGTGTCCTCAGATCAGAGAGAGAAGGAGCGAGATCAGCGTCTGCTGGAGCTCAGGCAGCAGCGGGAGGAGAGATCTCAGAAAGCCCGTGTGGGTGCAGACACCAGTGAGGTCGTGGTGAAGAAGATCGAGCGCTCCACTGACGGCTCCGCTATCAGTCACATCACCAATCGCGTTTCCCATTCAGGTAGCAGAGCTGTAATGTAGTGAACTCTGCTTGCTTCATTTTATTTCCCCCCTGCGGTTCACTTAAAACTCAAGGTTTATGTTCAAGTCATAGTTTAGTTTTACAAGACCCTAGGAATAAATTAAGGTCTATTTAATATCAGCAGACTCCTTTTTACACTTTTAAGAGCCCTCCAACAGGTATTTGTGTACCTTTTAAAATTGCATTCAGGTGAAATAGGTGCATGCATTTTAAAAACCCATAGTTTTTGGTGCAGGAATAAAACTTTGGAAATGGCTTAAGACTATCAAATAACACATCCTTTTTTATGAGATCACCCAAAAATATATATTATGTAATTACAACACGTATTGTGTTCCAGGTCAATTTTGGACCTGGTATCAAATGACGCTTCACACATGATGATATGCCGACTTTTTTAATCTGTTGGTTAGATTTGTCTCAAAAATGGTTTGGTAGAATATATCCAGTCCCTTTCCCATATATCTCACACACTTTTAGGACTGATTTGTGTTGGTAAACATGAATATGCACACACAAGTACTATAAACAGACAAAAGATGTAACAGACATAACAGATCAACTATATTTGGACTGCTTTTAAGTAGCCATGAGTTATAAATTCAAAGGAATTTATTAAATCCAGTTGATACTGGTATTTTTCAGATTATATGTTCTTATACATTTCATATAATGATATATTCAAATTAAACTTAAAAATTATGGCTGTCAAAATTAATGTGTTAATTGTGCAATTAATTTTTTTCAGTTTAAGGCATTAAAAATATTTAACGCAATTAACGGAGCATCCATTTTTTCCCCAGCATCCTTTGGCTAGTGTTACAGTAGACCATATGAACACGCACTCAAGCATGATAAGTCACAAAAGAGAGCTGTCTGTGAAGCAGCTCTCTGTGAACACGCACACAGAAAGCCAGAAAGCTTCAGACAGCACGCCAGTAGTGCACTGAGTTCTCTTTCACAGACAAAAACACACAAAATAAATGGTCAAAATGCCTGTTTTTGGCGAGTGACCTAGTAAAACCGTCTTAAATGTTAAAAAGTCCTAAATGACCGTAAAGAGTTGGGAGAAAGTCGGATGTGTGTCAGATCCACGTCACATGCATCAGGTTTTAAAGAGACAGCACTGCTTTTAAAGTGAAACCTGCTGCTGTCTGTATCATTTCTGTAAATCAAAGAACAGAAGAAAAAGAGAAATCACTCACTGCTCGTCGCTGATTGACTTTTGTAGCCTGAATAAAGATGAATCTCTGTTCAATTTATAGTTTATGTGAAGATTGTTTTAATTTCACTTAAAATTAAAAGTTGTTATATTTTTCAATGCCTGTTCAATGTTAAAAATAATGGCTTTCAGTTATACTGTAATGTTGAATGGCTGTAAAGCTATAAATAAGTTCCCTAAATTGAGGGAAAACTGCATGTAATAGAGACATCAGTAGCAGGATTGGTATCAGTGATACGGGCCTTCATTAATAATAAGCTACTTTGTAAAAAGATGCAATTAAACACATAACTAATATATATACCATCTTTATGTTGTTTCTACATTCATTTGGAGATTCAATGTGAAATTATGACAATATAAATAAACTATATTAATATCGCAATTAATTACAGAAAAATGTGTGATCAATTAGTTCTTTTTTTTAATCTAGTAAAAAAATTAAAAAAATTTTGCTTCACATTGATTTTTCTGTAGTTCATGTAAAATTTGAAATGTCAAAAAATCTGGATTTAATAAAAAGGGGCAAATATAGTAATAACGTGGTAATAACACAGTGCCATCCAAAAGTTTGGGATTTTGTGCATTCACTCATTATTAACATGTAAATTATCAGATACAATGTGGTTTTAGTTAAAATAATAAGTTGCACTTTATTTTACGGTATGTGCACATGCCTGTACTTACCAAAGAACGTACTGGATAATATAAGGTAACTACATCGATTAGGTTTAGGGGTAGGTTCAGGGTTAGTACCCAGTTATTACCCAGTTATTGTAATTATAACTATAACAAGTGCATAGTATGTAAATGTGGAGCAGGACTGTAAAATAAAGTGCTACCATGAGTCTTTTATAAGCTCACGCTCCACTCGGTCTAAAGTGACCCGCAAATGCAGGAATCTTTTGAGTGGATCAGGAAGGTGAAGACTTCTCTGATTGGCTGACCACTTTAAAATGAGTAACAACACTTGCAGCCTGATCCTTCAGCGACAGCCTCTTGTTCTGTATGTAACGTCATCTTTTTCCAGATAAAGTCAGTAAAATCGTAAGTAGCTTCATGTGAGGAACAGACTGAAAGTGAAATCAGTATTCACTGATTTCTGTTTTGTCGTTCATACTATTTCTTTACTAGGAATGCCACAATTCTCTATATGATATTGAATCGTTCGGTACGACATCCACGGTTCAATACATGCTTGTGAATTGCGTTTTTCCCCCGGTTTTGTTTAAATAATTTCAGTGTGTTTTAATCCTCTCCGAACTGGCTCTGTTTGTGTGCCCGTGAGTCTGCGTGCTGAGATGAGGAAACTCCTCCCCACTTGTAGCATGCATTTGAAAGAGTAACACACACCAAACATCTTCCCTTTTAATGACTCGTAATGAGAAGCGTTTCTAAGCCTGCTGTGCAATCTAGTAAAAAAATTAAAAATTTGTATATTTTTTTTAATTTTTTTTTTGCTTCACATTGATTTTTCTGTAGTTCATGTAAAATTTGAAATGTCAAAAAATCTGGATTTAATAAAAAAGGGCAAATATAGTAATAACGTGGTAATAACACAGTGCCATCCAAAAGTTTGGGATTTTGTGCATTTACTCATTATTAACATGTAAATTATCAGATACAATGTGGTTTTAGTTAAAATAATAAGTTGCACTTTATTTTACGGTATGTGCACATGCCTGTACTTACCAAAGAACGTACTGGATAATATAAGGTAACTACATCGGTTAGGTTTAGGGGTAGGTTCAGGGTTAGTACCCAGTTATTGTAATTATAACTATAACAAGTGCATAGTATGTAAATGTGGAGCAGGACTGTAAAATAAAGTGCTATCATGAGTCTTTTATAAGCTCACGCTCCACTCGGTCTAAAGTAACCCGCAAATGCAGGAATCTTTTGAGTGGATCAGGAAGGTGAAGACTTCTCTGATTGGCTGACCACTTTAAAATGAGTAACAACACTTGCAGCCTGATCCTTCAGCGACAGCCTCTTGTTCTGTATGTAACGTCATCGTGATGCTGTCATTGCTTGTGTGTGCAGATGATGCTGGCAGGACGTCCCGCAGCACTATCATAAAATCGTAAGTAGCTTCATGTGAGACTGAAAGTGAAATCAGTATTCACTCATTTCTGTTTTGTCATTCATACTATTTCTTTACTAGGAATGCCACACTTCTCTATATAATATTGAATCGTTCAGTACGAAATCCATGGTTCAATACATGCTTGTGAATAGCATGTTTTTTTCCAGTTTTGTTTAAATAATTTCAGTGTGTTTTAATCCTCTCCGAACTGGCTCTGTTTGTGTGCCCGTGAGTCTGCGTGCTGAGATGAGGAAACTCCTCCCCACTTGTAGCATGCATTTGAAAGAGTAACACACACCAAACATCTTCCCTTTTAATGACTCGTAATGAGAAGCGTTTCTAAGCCTGCTGTGCAACAAAAGAGAACATTATAACATGTTTTTACTCCACAAGACCAGTCGAATGCTTGAAACAACTTAATTTTGGGATCTGTTGTCGCAGTCGAGTGTTTATTGTCTTTATGTTTCATCATTCAAAGCGTTTCTATTTTCGTTTTATTCAGCTACAGGGATAGCTGGATGCCTTTGTCCATATTAGGGATTTCCTGGAGCGTCATGAGTTCTGTTACTTCTGTGTGGAGTGAGGGCATTAGTATTTGTAGACTTACACTACTGTTTAAAAATTTTGGGGTCAGTAAGATTTTAAGAAATTAATACTTTTTTCAGCAAGGCTGATCAAAAAGTGACAGTAAAGACATTTATAATGTTACAAAGATTTCTATTTCAAATAAATGCTGTTCTTTTGAACTTTCTATTCATCACAGAATCCTGAAAAATCAAATGTATCTCAGTTTCCACAAAAATATTGGGCAGCACAACTGTTTTCAACATTAATAATAATCAGATATGTTTCTTGAGCAGCATATTAGAACTATTTATGAAGGATCATGTGACACCTAATGATGCTGAAAATTCAGCTTTGATCACTGCAATAAATTGCATTTTACTATATATTCACATAGAGTGTAAGAGTGTAGAGAGTCTTACGAGTGTAAGAGACTTCTTTCAAATTCTTACCAACCCCAAGCGGTTGAACGGTAGTGTGCAGTCTTACCGCTAACCGTTGCTCTCTGTCTCCATATTGCTTCTGCCTCCTCCATGTCATGAAGAATGTGAACATCCAGAACTTCTCCTCCAGCTGGAGTGACGGGATGGCGTTCTGCGCTCTGGTGCATAACTTCTTTCCAGAGGCCTTCGATTACTCCAGCCTCAGTCCCGCAAACCGCAAGCAGAACTTTGAGGTGGCCTTCAGCACAGCAGAGTGAGTCCAGATGCTTATACATCACATGATCAAACACATACAAGAATTAAGAGCCAGGAGGAATACAATTCAAATTTGAGCTGGTGCACTCACTGGGGTGAATTCACTAAACAGTTGCTTCTGACGTCAAGCTCGGCTTTCCTGTGTTCGTATAGCACTGTTCATTAATGCGTTCTTCCTTTAATATGTTGCATTTAATGTCACAGTTTACGAAAGAATGTCATTCTTTCCTGAGAAAACACACAAACATTTCCTTCTATGCAAATAAGGCATTTCAGAAACATTGGCGTCATGCAATGAATGTGTTGCTGTGACTGCAGATGGAAAGCTGGCAGCAAACAGCTGTTTGTGTACAAGTGTTTGGGCCAATAACTGGGTCGTGTCACACGCACCTGCTTCATCTTGAGCTGATGAAGTGCGTGGATGTCACAGCGGTGGAACGACGCTGTACAGTCACAGTAAACGAGGCCAGATTGAAGTGGTCTGCAGTAATTAACAGAACACCCGACCTGTTATCCGATAGCAACACTAATTTAATTCCGACCCGTTTGGCTTAAAAACTGTGACCCGAATTGCACCCGCATTAAATCTCATACATGAGGTAGACAAAACTCACTTATTAAAACTTTGTCAAAATGTGAATAGATTAAATGCAGAAAGCAAGCAAAGAGCGCTCCCTTTAATATAGGCTAACCACTACAGCTGTCAATCAGTGGCAGCAAGATTGGCTACAATACTCAGTGAGTGTCTAAATCATTTCAATGGGAGACGTGCAGAAAGCAGGCGGTTTTGCTGGCGGCGTGGAGAAAACCTGATGAAGATCGTTTAAATTGTAATGGAATTCTCAGAGTTGTATGATCCATCAAAAATCTTTTACAGAGATCATCATTTCAATGGGAGACGTGCAGAAAGCAGGCGGTTTTGCTGGCGGCGTGGAGAAAACCTGATGAAGATCGTTTAAATTGTAAATGGAATTCTCAGAGTTGTATGATCCATCAAAAATCTTTTACAGAGATTTAAAGAAAAAATCCAGAGCATGCGTGTACCAGGTATGTAAAATGTCACTTTTAGCTGTGTCTGACATGAAAACTACACTAGTCATAGTCCCATGAAATGATAAATAGCAGAGATAATAAAGTTTCATTAGTAGAATAAAATGTGATCTTGGTGTTTGCAACTATCGTCCTGCACAAAACGCTTCCACTACGAGAGAAAGCAGCAGCCGCGAGGCCATTCCACCGCGTCCCGTATGAAACGGCCTTTAAACGGTCTTCAGACAACGTGAACACATTACATAAATTTGCCCACCCGCGTGCAGGACTCTGCTGCTGTGTCCGCTACAACCTACCACTCAGAGCTGGATGCACATTGTGTCCAGAACTGATTTTTTTTGTAGGCGTTTTTGTGGCATAGTCTAATTTGCATGATTTCATTTCTGAGTCAAATTTTGAGCAGGTGCAACTGATTCTTAGTGAATTCCCCCATGTTTCTAGTATTGTCAAACTCCAAATAACACACTTAGGCAGACACTCAAGGTCAGTTTGTCACAGGAACCTGCCTTCATATACACTACCATTCAAGAGTTTGGGCTCAGTAGGATTTTATAAATGTTTTTGAAAGAAGGCTGCAATTATTTGATCAAAAATACAGTAAAAACTGTAATATTGTGAAATATTATTAGAATTTAAAATAACTGTTTTCTATGTGAATTTATATTAAAATGTAATTTATTCCTGTGATCAAAGCTGAATCTAATATGCTGATTTGCTGCTCTGATTATTATCAACGCTGAAAACAGTTGTGCTGCTCCACATTTTTGTGGAAATCGTGATGCATTTTTACATGATTATTTGATGAATAGAAAGTTCAGAACAGCATTTAGTTGAAATAAAAAACTTTTGTAAGATTAGAAATGTCTTTACTTGTCATTTTTGATTAATTGAATGCATCCTTGCTGAATAATTAAAACTAAATCTTACTGACCCCAAATTTTGTATGGTGAAGTATGTACATAACATCAGTTATCGTTCATAATCCATCTGTCTTGAATACTGATGTATTCGTGTTCTTTTCGTTTCGCTTTGTTTCTGAGCCTGTTTAAATACAGCCAAGTCTTTTAACAAGTTCATCAGATCTGCAACTCAGAATAATCATCTTTTAATAGCTGTCATTTCTTTGAGTCAGGTCCACTTAAAATCAACCTACCACTCAGAGCTGGATGCACATTGTGTCCAGAACTGATTTTTTTTGTAGGCGTTTTTGTGGCATTGTCTAATTTGCATGATTTCATTTCTGAGTCAAATTTTGAAACCATGTTGCGATCAGCAGGTGCAACTGATTCTTAGTGAATTCCCCCATGTTTCTAGTATTGTCAAACTCCAAATAACACACTTAGGCAGACACTCAAGGTCAGTTTGTCCCAGGAACCTGCCTTCATATACACTACCATTCAAGAGTTTGGGCTCAGTAGGATTTTATAAATGTTTTTGAAAGAAGGCTGCAATTATTTGATCAAAAATACAGTAAAAACTGTAATATTGTGAAATATTATTAGAATTTAAAATAACTGTTTTCTATGTGAATTTATATTAAAATGTAATTTATTCCTGTGATCAAAGCTGAATCTAATATGCTGATTTGCTGCTCTGATTATTATCAACGCTGAAAACAGTTGTGCTGCTCCACATTTTTGTGGAAATCGTGATGCATTTTTACATGATTATTTGATGAATAGAAAGTTCAGAACAGCATTTAGTTGAAATAAAAAACTTTTGTAAGATTAGAAATGTCTTTACTTGTCATTTTTGATTAATTGAATGCATCCTTGCTGAATAATTAAAACTAAATCTTACTGACCCCAAATTTTGTATGGTGAAGTATGTACATAACATCAGTTATCGTTCATAATCCATCTGTCTTGAATACTGATGTATTCGTGTTCTTTTCGTTTCGCTTTGTTTCTGAGCCTGTTTAAATACAGCCAAGTCTTTTAACAAGTTCATCAGATCTGCAGCTCAGAATAATCATCTTTTAATAGCTGTCATTTCTTTGAGTCAGGTCCACTTAAATAACTAAAGCTTCATTACTAGCTTTTTAAACGGTTATTTGCATTTCTCCTCTGCTCCTGTCCTTTTCCTTTTCCCAGTAACATAACTTTCATGCATTTGAGCTCCTTTCTAAATGAGAAACATCCAGCCGAACGCTCACGAGTTTCCCCAGAATAGTGTCTGCTAACAGAAGAGCGATACTCCGAGTCAGTATTGTTCAGTGACCTGAGAATAGGTCTTACCTGCTTCCCCTTTGGTTAGTCTGTGTCCAGGTGATTTCTCATTTCATCCTCCTCCACTTTACTGTGAGCACTGGTTTATCTCACTGTTTATCCCCAGCTCTTGTCATCATTAAAGGCACCATCTGTAATTGCTTGCGAGTCATTAGTGCTGCTGTGGCCTGAAGGAGAATTCATACTCTGTTATGATGGTCTGTCGGTCTCAGGCAGACCACATTAGCGCCGCTGTCCTCATTTCCACTTTTCACTCGTGTCACCTCAAATCACCACCTCTCATTGAAAACTAATGAATTTGCTTCACGAGTTGTTGCTGAGTCTGCAGTAAGCCAACACTGAGATGACAGTATTTCAGTAAAGGGCATCACCACAGACATGCTCTGTCACAGATTGTTTGGTTGTAAACATTAGCATCTATCTAAATGTATTACTTGACTTTAAGTTCTGTATCATTATTGACTGGAAAAAGTCAAATGAGAACGGTGCCAAACTGCTCCCTTTACATTGTGTAGAGTACTAATATATCAGTGTGCTTCATTGGGATCCAGAAATTCAGATCTCACCTACTATTTAGGACGGATAGTAGGAAAAAAAAAGTTTTAAAACTTGAAATCAGCTGTTCACTCAGTTCCTGGTGGATAAAATCAAGTCAGTTCTTATATGTAAATGCAAATGGCGATTCACGTGGACCTGACTTATTTGGAGCATTTGTTTCAGAACCCAACATATTTTCTCCCGTAGTTTGTTTTGTTTAGGCATGAACACGACAGTCACCCAACGGACTAACAAACCAAGTTGGATCATAATTTGAACGCATTATTTATCATAAGAGCGCCTCTTCTCATTGCTCTTCTTTGAAACAGGCACATTGCAAGGATGCTGTCCCAACAAAGCCTTTATTCCCGCTGATGATCAATTATATGTAGAATTCTGTATTCTGTAAAAGACGTTATGAAATGTTGCAACACGCACCAAACATTCAGCATTGTAACAATGTATGTAAGTCCCTGTGTTGGATTACAAAGACAAATGTCTGAAAATGCCTTAAAGGGATAGTTCACCCAAAAATTAAAATTTGATGTTTCTCTGCTTACCCCCAGGACATCCAAGATATAGGTGACTTTGTTTCTTCAGTAGAACACATTTGATGATTTTTAACTTTAACCGTTGCAGTCTATCAGTCGTATAATGCATGGCAATGGTAACAAAATCTATGAGAGTAAAAAAACATGCACAGACAGATCCAAATTAAACCCTGCGGCTCGTGACGACACACTGATGTCCTAAGACACGAAACGATCGCTTTGTGCCAGAAACCCAACAGTATTTATATAATTTTTTACCTGGTTAGAGACGTTTATTAAATTATATTAAATTTGAATTGAAATGAACTTACATTTTAAAATTTTAGAAATAGATATATTAAATCAGTAATGCCACATACAGTCCCCCCCCCCCTTAAAAGCTTAAAGGTAAGGCCTTTGGGTCTCACACGCGCACCATGACAGCTATTGCTCTCTATCAGCGTGCTGTTTGTCAGATTCTGACGATTAGCATAACTAAATATTGTGCGTCTGCCAGCTCAACAACTTCGTCAGAGAGAAAGCGTATGAAACGGCAGACTGAAGCAGTGATGCCCAAACATGGTCCTGCTCTTAGACATGTGAAATGAGCCCATCAAACCTGGCCTGCTCAAATACACTGCTTTAGCTACCCGTTTAAAGAGCACATCGACACTACACAGAAGCAAACTGTATCCAGCGCTTGCTCTTGACACGTGCTAAATGTTTGCTATCATGCTTCTAGAGATTTCTCTTTTGCTTGACTTCACAGAGCAGCAAAGTGTAAATTACTCTGAATTCAATACAGCTGAACCTCTATTTACAGCGTGTGTATGGCATGCTGTCGGTTACCGCAGGCAATCATTTCTTATTCTGTTAAAACAAGTTTAGAGTAATGTTCACAGAAATGCACTTACAATGGAAGTCTGTGGAGCCTGCATTTTGGAGGCTTGAAAAACTGAAATGTGAGGGTCCTTGGCAAAGTTTTGTAAGAATGCACATCAGGCTTATTATCATTAACTAAAACAATTTTTTTTTTAAATTATGAATAAAAAAAATAAAAAATTGTTTCAGATTTTATTTCAGTTAATGTTTATTTCAGCTAGTTGAGTACTGAAACTAAAAAACTAAAATGTAATAAAAACTATTTAGAAAAAGACGGCACAAAATTACTAAAACTTTACCTAGAATTTAAATCAAATTCAAAATAATAAAAATTTCAGTGATATTAAAATAACACTGGGTTACATAGTATGATCTGCTTGCATAAATATAAAATGTTCATTTTATATTTATGCAAGTTGCCTAATATATAAAATAGCTCTATATTTTGGTATAAAATAGCTGTTTTTGTATCATGCTCATTGAAAAAAAATTAGCATGATATATATATATATGTATTAGTGCTGTCAAACGATTAATCGTGATTAATCGCATCCAAAATAAAAGTTTTTGTTTACATAATATATGCGTGTGTACTGTGTATATTTATTGTGTATATATAAATACACAAACATGCATGTATATATTTGAGAAAGTTCTTTGTTTATATATAAAATATTTATATATAATAGAAATTATATATAAATATATGTATTTATATATACATAATAAATATACACAGTACACACGCATATATTATGTAAACAAAAACTTTTATTTTGGATGCGATTAATCACGATTAATCGTTTGACAGCACTAATACATACATATATATATAAAGGAGTTGCTTTATTCTCCAGTATGTAGTGAGTAAATTCTCTGTATCAGATGACAGTGCTTCCCCCTGTTGGTCAGGCATATGAACTGCACAGAGTAGTGTAGACAGCATATACAGCATCATTTGTTTTATCATTCGTCTGTGGTTGTCTTTTCATTAGGGCCCATGCTAACTGCATGCCCCTGCTGGAGGTGGAGGACATGATGATCATGGGTAAGAAACCAGATCCCAAGTGTGTGTTCACATACGTGCAGTCACTGGTGAACCATCTGCGCAAGCATGAGATGATGATGGCACGTGCGCAGCGGACCTCTGACTTCTGATGCTCGCTTTACCTGCGGTTTTCATTCTGATCCTGTTACATTTCCACAGTTAAGATTGTGTTTACTGTCCAGACAGATCCAAACAGCTCCTTCTGTAACAGCTGTAAAAACTCAATAAGGATTTTTTTTTTAACAGTAGTTTGTTCCAAAAAAAAAAAATTACAGAAATGGTTTGTTGATGGTAAAATAATGAAAATTCCAAGTTATAACTTCCAAGATGCCTATCACTTGATTCCATGTGCTAAAAACGAAGCATTATTTGATGTTGATTGCCCATATCTATATGGTTTTTAAAAGCTTTTAAACCTGTTTCACGGTACTGTTGCTGTTAATAGAGCTCAGACCCGCATGCTTTCACAAGTCTACTTGAAGTTTTACTTCTGTTTCAAAAACAAATGAAGGTTATATTTTCGTCTGTATGCGATATTGTGTTTATTTAAAAACATTGCAAGGAATATTAATCTCACTGCTTGTTTAGTGCAAGATGCAGCTCGTGAACTGTTTTGAAATGTTTTTCTAATTGAAAGTTTGGTTTTACACTGAACACAGAGCATTCAGGCGTCTTTGAAGTGATATAAAATACACAAACATGCATGAATAGATGCACTTATGATCTGTCCTTATTTATGGATGAGCTTATTTTGGATTTGTTGATATTCCTGAACTTCATTTGGAAGCAATGGAAGTTTGTCCCAAAACATTAGCCTAAAGGATCTGTTTTTGTACATCTTTACAGCAGTAATTGAAACCGTGTATATATGAGTAACCCTAGTCGAGTCCATTTGAGAAGAGTAATAATAATGTTTTAGCAGTAAATTAATCTGAGAAGGTCAATGATGTTTATATATTTGGTTCTAAAGATTAAGGTTGTAGTTTTAATTGTTTTAATGACTGCACATCATTTTATTTTGAAGACGAAACACAGCTACTGCCGCAGCCACGCCAGGGCCTTTGTTTGGTACTTGAAAGTTGCATGAGTAGAGCTAATTAGCATTCATTCACACTGAAAGGTGAACATTGACATTGTTTGTACACACTCGTTCAAAAACTATTGTTCACTCAGTATTGCCCTACACCATGGTTTTGTGTAGTAATCATTAAAACCATACGCGATACCAAAAATGCGTTTGTCATTTATTGCATTTTCTGAATATTTTAAACAATTCAGACTCTGTTACTTTTCAACAGTTAAAATTGTTTACAATGGACGCTAATTTGTTTGAACAAGTCGTAGTTTTTTTCAAAAAAGGGTAATTCATCTTTGTGCTTTATATTAGGTATAACTATATGTGACCCTGCAGCACAAAAGCAGTCATAAGTAGCACAGATTTTTTCTTTTATGCCCAAAATCATGAGGATATTAAGTAAAGATCATGTTCCATGAAGATATTTTGTAAATATATCAAAACTTAATTTTTGATTAGTAATATGCATCGCTAAGAACTTCATTTGGACAACTTTAAAGATGATTTTCTCAATATTAAGATACTTTTGGACCGTCAGATTCCAGATTTTCAAATAGTT